AATCATTTACTTCTTCTTTCTCTTTATTTTCTATTTTTCTTTCTTTTTCTTCTTCGTTATTAGTTTCATCACTAGTTATTTGATTTTGAATAACAGGTATATCTAAATTAATATATTCTTGAAGTCTTCTCAATAATTCATTTCTTGTAGTTTCTTCATCTTCATTTAACGTTTCTTCACCCATAGAATTAAGAATAGTAATAATATGATTAATTTCTTGTTCCCTAATAACTGAATTATCATTTTCATTGTGAGTCTCTTCAGTACGTTTATTTTTTATTTTTTCATTATATTGAGGTATTTCTTTATCAATTAAAGAATCGCAATTGATTATTTGAATACCAATCATCATTTCTATTAAAATATAATCAAATCCAATTCTTTCAGCTAAAAATTGAAGTAATTGAATTGTATTAAGTAAAGGTTCTTTAAAATGTAATGATACTACCTGTTCATATTGAATAAAAACCTCTGTACCATTTCTTATCCATTCATTATTAACAATTTGTTCTTTAAAAATAATTGGAAATAGAGCTATTTGTACAATTTTTTTACAATCTTCAATTGGAATATTAAATTCAATGTTATTTAATTTAAATAAGATTAATACTTTAGTATAAAAAGGAAGAATAAAAGTAACTGGAGAAACAGATTGATTTTTTCCTATTTGGCGATAATAGTATTTTTCATTATTAATTGAAAGAATTGGAACTTTATCTAAAATAGAATTAATATGAGACATTAATTTTTGATGAATTAATGGAAAATGAATATACAAATAATTAGGTGTAAATATTTTAATAATTTTTAATAAAACATTCATTAAAGTTGATATCCATGTAACAAAAGTAATTCTAATATCATTAAATTCAACATGCTCTCCTTCTTTAATTAAATTAGGAAAGAGGTTTGATGATTCACACAAAATATCTAAAAGATTTTCTAATAACCCTTCATGAATATTTTCAATAGGTTCTATTCCAATTAAATAATAATCAACCACTGAAATCAAATTATTGATATAAGTAATTAACATAGGTTTTATTTTTGATTGATGAATAAATTTTTTAATTAATGAAAGTAACTTTTGCATTCTTGTTGTTGAAAAAATTTCTCTTGAAACAATTTCTTTTGGTTGTAAAAATACAATGTGTTGTGCTATTTAACAA